GGATATGACGTAGAAATTACTGATCACACCCGTTTAGAAAGAAGAAATGTGATCAGTGATGTAATAATATTTCCAAATTTTAATGGACAACGGAAGTCTCGTGTCAATTATTACCCCCGAAGGAAAAAATCGGATCTTGTTAGATATAATATACGGCATATATCGGGATGGGATTCTACATTGTCATTCAAAGCGCAACCAAACCTTTTCAGAATCACTATTGTATACTTAAAGCAAGATCTATTAAATTTATTTACTTGAATAATTTACAAATTTTTGGTAAAAGCTCAAAATGAGCTTTCAGAACTCGGGTCACCAAACCCCACCACACATAGAAAACAACCTTTTACCACCATATTTTTCCCTTCAACACCAAACCGACATTAATACTGCCATTTTACAGCCACCCGGACAGGGTGGCGATTCAAGTGGAGATGAAAGTCTAACGACACCCAATGCAACACATTCCAGATTAGGTAGCCTCTCTAGATTGGATGCACCTGCAGGGGCGCCATTTTGGGGCAATTTTTCTCCTACACCTGGTACTCGGACCCCATTAATGCCAGAATGTTGTTGCGGTAGAGAGAATTGCTCCAAGTTACAAGTGTTTGTTCAAAATACTCGCTCTTTAGAAGAGGAACTGAGACTAGCTGCTGGTAAGTATCTTTATGGGTGGGTAAACTATAATAGGCTTATGTTATTCACTTTTCATTCCGATATAACGGGAGCAGAGTCTTAGTAAAAACATTATTTTTATTTTCATCAGAGGTCGGGCAAGCACTTTTGCAAAAGCATGAACTTTATCAGAAAGAAATGGAAGAATTTCAACAAGCATTAGAGCATCAGGTATTGATCGATATATGTATCTTTATGTATATTTGTGGGAAATCATGAAAGCCGATTATCAAGAACCAATGAGGTGTATATTATCCTTAATGTTTACTTTAGTGCGCTCGTGCTCAACAAGAAGTTCAAGAACTTGAAGATCTAGTTCGTGAACTGCAACAAGACCAAAAAAATATGCTTCGCGAACGGGAAGATTCACAAAGAGAAAAAAACGAATTGTTGGAAATAGTGCATGAATTGGAACAAACTCAACTTTCATTAGAACGTCAAATCGATGATGCTCAACGGCAAAAAAGTTTAGTTGAAAGGGTAAAAATTAATTTTTCATTATGTAATTAATAAAGTTAATCGTATAATATGATGAACTTAATACTTTATTTATAAACTAGAAAAATGATTCACTTGCCGCTGCACTTGAAGCAAGTGATGTTAGATTACGTGAGCTTGTCAAAGAGTTGGAAAAACGTGATAACGAAGTCAAACGATTAACAGCCAATAATATCAAGGGGGAACATAGTGAAGAGAGAGAAGAAGATCTACGGAGACAAATGGAAGATCTTAAACAGGAGCTTACAGTAGCTCGCAAAGCTGAAAGTGCTGCTGAAGCTCGAGTTCGTAAACTAAAAGGAAAATATGGCAAGTCTTTACATTTTCACACTTAAATTTTCTTAAAATGAATTGCTGAATTGATTTATAAATATATATCTTTAATTTAAGATAACCTTCATAGTGCTCATGAAAAACTGAAACGTGAGCAAAATGATAGTTTACGATCTAAAGGAAAACTTGAGGCTGTAGCAATGTTACGCGAGTCTAATGAACGGCTAAAAGACGAATTTAAAGTATATAATGAATCCCATATTTTTTTGTGTTTAGTTGATCAATAAATAAATTAATTTTATGCTTTTATACGATTTAGTCCTCGTCAAACAATGAAGCCAATACCCACTTAATAACTCTTATTAAAGAATTATCATCGGCCAATAACAAATTAAAATCAGAAATTTTGGAATATCGCGAGCTCTTAACTGAATCACGTAACGAAGTAAGCACCTTACAAAATCGAATCGAGGAACTGGAAACTGCTAGCGCAACTGGTTACACTCCTTATCCGGCCAGTTACACAAGTACTACTTTCGCACCACCCTTAAATAATAAAGGTATACCTGTTCAGGTGATTGATGAGGTTGAGAGTAATAATGGTGAAGAATCCCCAGTTACAGCAGTATTCATGGAAGAAGGTGGAGATGGTGTTAGTGGTAATATCAGTGGAATACCTGCACGTTCAATTCATGCTCGTATCTCACCAAGTGCTGTTTCTTCTTCATTTGGTGGTGCAGCCTCAATCAATACCTTTAATAGTATGGGTGTGGATCCTTCAGTTGCCTCTCCCGCTGGGTCATTAGTTTCGACATCAATGCTATCTAGCTCAAATCCATTGCATTACCATCATCATTATCATCATTACCATCATTATCCTGCGGAAAATGTCGATATTGTGCGGGGAAGTGTCTTTGGCGAATTAGAGAAATATATATTGAAGAAAACTAAACCACGAGGTGCTCGAAGACCCGGACGTGGAGCTCTTAAGAAAGGGAAAAAAAGATTTGTCGAGATTGGTGAAGGAGAAGAAGAGGAGCTTATTAATAATGAAAATCCTGAGGGTAAAGAAGTTCAGGGAGAAAATCCGCCCACGAAAACTAGCAAAAAATCGGGAGATTCGGAATCGGAGTCTGATGATATAGCTTTTTCTGATGAATCGGATGAAGAAAGGGTGACTGGGGTATGTAATAACGGTTCAGCTTATTATTTATCGTTCTTTACATTGTACCGTGTTTATATTACTTTGCAGGGATTCTTTTATTTTGGTCAATGGTGGTCTAGTTTCGTATAAATTTATTGTCGGCTACTGATAGTAAAAAAAAAATACGAAAAACAATAAGAAAGATTCCACCATGGACCAAAATTCTCTGATATAAACAGCAAAACTATCTGGTTATTTATTCCTCATTCAGGCCCTCTCTTTCTTCTCTCTCTTGTTTACCTTTTCTGACACGATTTAGGAGGAGAGGGAAGACGACGAAGTAGTTGGTCAGATTTCTCCAAACCCGACTATAAAGTCCAATGTGAAGACGACGAAGGATAACAAAGAAACAACTGCTGACTTTAACAAGAATAATATTTCAACAATTTCAATGCAAGAACAAAATTCAAACAATCAAAAAAGAAATAATGTTTCACTATTATCTGCCGGACTTAAAAAAGATGTAGCAGCAAATGATGTTGATAAAAATGATAACGATAATCACAACGATAATAGCAACAATAATAATAAGCTAAATAATAATGAAAAAGATAAATCAAACAAAACATCATCTACGCAAACAGTAGACAACAATTTACAAAATAATGGCAATAACAGCACACTCTTGTCGAAGCGAAAATCAATCGCAACAGTATCAACAGCAACTTCTAAGCAACATAAACCAAATCAATCATCACCTTTGACGTATCATCGACGTCCAACGTCAGGAGTGCCTAGTTCATTATCAGTTAAAGCTTCTCAATCATCAGGGACACCGACATTGAAATCCAAATCTACTGCTAAACCAGCGATTCCAGCTTTCAAGAATCCTAAATTTGCAACTTTGGGTCCCAAAGAACGTAAACAAATGATGGAAGCTTGGCGAGCAGGAGTTGCTAAAGAACAAAACATGAACAATTCTAAGAAAGACAAGGAGAATAAGAATAATATTGCTACGAAGAATAGTAATAATGACGATGATAAGCATGAAAAATGCGCGAGTGACACTGACACTATAAAAGAAAAAACCCGAATGGATTTGTCAAGCTCACCCATAAAAGACTTTGTAGAGGAAGTACTCGTGGATGAAGCTAATTTATCAGCTGCAGAAGCAGCAGCACTTGCAAATGAAGTTGAACACGGATTATCATCTCGCTCTCATACATCTACAGCAACTCGACATACATCAATTCATCCTCCCGCAATAATAGTGCATGCGCCTGCAGATAATGATGCAAATAATGATAATATTATTATAAACAACCAATATCTTCATCCTGCACCACCTGAATCACCACAGCATCAAAGTCCATATCAATCGCTTTTCAATCTAGTCAGTAATTTGATGGACCGTCTTAAGGGCACTGATATATTGGCCTTGAACCGACGTCTAAAAAGACAGTTTGACATGTCAGAATTATCAAACCTGAGTAATAATTTAATTGAGAATATTCTGGCAGATGTTGAGAATCTAAGAGAACGGTTTAGATGGGTGGAAGATTTACGAGGAAATGAAAATGAAAAATCATCAGATGAGAAAGATGGAAATACCGATGATTATTGTGCATCTGAAGATAATAAAAAGAGTGGAAGTAAAAATCGGGATATCTTTAGATTTTCAACCGAGGAATTTTTGCCGCTTACCCATCTTATGCAAGATTTATTGGCTGAAGTGGGTAAACTGCGTATTATGGTTAACGATGTTCAAGTTTCTTATGTACAAAAAGTGGAAGAGAGTCGAAGGAAAGCTGAAGAAGAATTCGATAAAAGTTTAATGAGTGGTCGAGGAGATGATGAAATCTTGGAACGAAAAGATAAACGAAGAAATAGGCAAAGTCAAGGAAGTGAAGGTGGAATTGGAGCGTATTTAAGTCGAGTATTCGGAAGTGCTAAAGGAGTTCAATCTCCACCAAATTCTGCGCGTCATCATAGTCGGCGTATGTCTGTAGATTTTTCACATGATCGAGATGTGTCAATTGGAAGTATTGATACATTTGCAGAAGAATCATATTATCCAGATCGTAATTTGGAAACGTTTACTAGCGCTAGTGGTAGCCATAGTGCACCAAATACATTAAGAGTTAAAAAACGGCGAGAGAGTATGGAATCGGTTGGATCAATCTTTAGAAGAAGCGTTGCTTCTTTTTTTGGAGGTGGAGGAGGGGTGACGGCGGAGAATACCAGCGGCAATATTCCAGTAACAGTATACGAAACCAAAGAAGAGGAAATAGAGAAGACTGGTACTTGTATGGAAAGAGAAAGTGGGAGAAAAAACTTGGATACTTTAACTCTTCTGGGTCGGAATAATAGTGAATATCAACAGAAAAAACGTGCAAGTCATTACGATAATAATAACAATAATCAGAATATTGGTGGTGGTAGTAATTCAAGATCTCCTATGGTAAGATCAACAACATCCTCATCAATCACGAAAAAATCCGATGGGTCACCGAAATCAACTTCAGTTTTATTATCTTCGCCGCCGCCTCCGCCTAAATTAACAACCACGCCCAGACAAATAAGAACATCTCCAAGTAATAGTAATTTAGAAAATCGATTGCGACAACATTTAGCCATAGCTGCCGTCGCTTCACCGTCTCAACCATCTTCAAGAAATCTGAATTCAACAGCGGTGAGAGGAAATGAAGGTGAGATTGGCAACAATGTAAAAAGTACAGCATCGCAAGGAAAATCATCTGGAGGGAATAATAAACAATATTCAAGGGATTATTATGATGATGAATACGATGAAGATTATATTGATTACTATGAGGAAGATGAGGAGGAAGACGCCAAGAATTGGAAAGTTTCAAATATTTTCGAAAAATTGTTTGGTAAATAATAGTGAGAATAAAAAGGTATGGAACAATCGATCGATCGATCAATCAAGACAAATCATCCCAATAGGTAAAGTCAGCACTCTCAGTCTTTTAGTTTATCGATCATATTTTTCTTTTATAATTTTCTTGTATATTTTTTCTGTCATTCATTTTTTGTATATGCGCGCGTGTGTGTTTGGTATGTACCTTGTTTATATATTACTATATTTCTTTCATTTAATTGTAAAACAAATCATTTCTTTCTTTTTATCTTTACAACTTTTAATTGTACAGTGGCAACTTGTACATTTATTCACTCATTTGATTAAACCCACAATATACATTTTTCTTTTTTTTCTTTTGATTTTTTTTCTATTACAATTCATTTAGAATAGAAAATTAATCTTTAAAATGTATGTTTCTGGTTACTGTATAACTACAACAACAACAACACACGATTCTAACTTATTTGTGAGAAATTCCATTAGCTTTTTATAAAACTGGATTGGAACATGTACATTAAATATATTTTCTCTCCTTGAAAATGGCTGTGCAAAAATAGATTTATCATGAGAGCGGCTTATTGGAATCTAACTATCTTGATTTTAATAGTATGTATCTTTTTATATGCATTCAATCGGAAATCTATATTTATAAAAAAACCCTTTTCAAAAAAATCACAACAGTTAACTTTTTTCCAGCAGACGATCAATTGTTACCATTTTAATTAGACGATGTGGATCACATTATCTAATATTGGAACATCCAGATTTTTCTCTTAATGGAAAAAAACATTAAAAACACAAATAAAAAAATGAAGGAATTTTATCGTCATTTTCTGGCTTGAATTATTTAAAAGGTCCAATGCACGATCCGTGTATCAGATGTATCAATCTTGACGGACTTTTCTTGACTAAGTTTCAATTGGTGATTTGTTCATTCCCCAAAAAATTTAGATGATGAATATATGCGATATAGTTCTCTAAAAACCTTCGATAATGTATTAAAATAAAAAGCAACTATTTTTAGACATCATGAAGTTTTATATCCACAAATATTTAATATGCGCGCATATGTATGCATATGTGAATAAAAAAGTAACCAATTTAAGTGACATGTCGTAAATATATGCGGTCATTATTTCCTAAATAAATAGATAAATGAAAAAATAAAATAAAAAATATTTTCTCTTAGATTTTTTGAGTTTCTTTTTTCAACTTTTAAAAAGGAATTTAAGTTATCGTTTTATACACCAACCATAGCGATTGCACCCATAATTCTATTCAAGGCTGTGTTATAAATCAACCACCCGCGTTAAAAAGTATATATCATTCATTCATCCACGCCACAATTTTTTCCTGATCCAGAAAAGAATCTCTAATGCAATTATAAAAATAAATAGGTCAGCGTAATTCGTGTTTATGTACAACAGTTGCACTAATTTCTAGATACATTCTTGTCTCATTTTCGCCGCCCCTCTACATTATTATTATTATTATATAAAACATTTTCCTTTTTTTTTCGTTCCTTTACACGTCTTGTCTCTCTTGATTTTTGGTATATGGTAGGGAATTTATTGGAACATTTTAAACTATAAAAAAATTATTCCTTTCACCATCACTTCTCTTTTATTTTAGTGTCTATCACTATTAATAGACAAAAAGGGCAAACAGACAAACGAGTTTTTACAAATTAAAAAAATAATCTTGTTGTTGGGACTTTTGTATAATAATACATTTGTATTCTCTTTAATAATACTACTACCAATAATACTACTAATAATAATTATATCAGCATAGTAGTAAAAGTAATACTAATACTAATACTAATACTAATAATACTATAATAATAATAATAAGAATAATAATAAGAATAATAATAATAATAACTATAAAAACGATATATAGATAGAAAGACTATGGGGAAGACAAAAAAGAGCCGATCCTCAAATCCTTTAGTTTCCTCATCTTTACCTTCTGATAATAGAATTGACTTGACTCAATTACTCACTAGTCCAACTGGAGCACCATCAGAAGATGATGTCTTGCAATTACTTTCCAACCGTTACAAAGCTGACTTACCTTATACTCGTATTAATGCTTCGACTTTGGTCGTCGTCAATCCTCATAAACCACTGGAATGCATGAATGATGCCACCGCAAAAGACTATGCAGAACAATGGTATAAAGATACCTCAGGCAACAAGTCTTCATTACAACCTCATGTATATGAATTGGCTGCAAGAGTTTATTTACATATGCGAAGGTCGGCAGAGGATCAAAGTGTTATATTCAGGTATCTTTTAATGTATAATTGTTTCAAATGGATGCCATTCATCTGGTTACACAGATCACAAATGATATTTTGTTTATTTGTTTTAGTGGTATATCAGGTTCTGGTAAAACTGCTAGCCAATCACATTTCTTGCAACAACTTTTACTTTTATCTACTCACACGAAAAAAGAATCAAAAATTGCTTCCCTAATCGAAAATGCTCAATTCATCTTGGAAGCATTTGGTAATGCACAAACTGTACAAAATCGAAATGCATCAAGATTTGGCAAATATTTGGAATTACAATTCAATGAACGAGGGAGAATTATCGGTGCAAAAGGTTTAACATACGCATTGGACAAATCAAGAGTAACTGAGGTGCCACAAGATGAAAGAAGCTATCACGTATTCTATTACTTGTTAGCTGGCGCAAATGCTGAGGAAAAATCACAATTTCATCTTCAAGATCCACAAAACTACTTTTATCTATCACAATCGAAATGTTTCCGTATTTCAGATGTCGACGATACCATTAAAATGGATGATTTACGTGCTTCCTTGAAAACTTTAGGTTTTAAAAGTAAAACTGTCTCTCAAATTTGGCAGCTCTTGTCTGCAATTTTGTTGCTGGGCAACATTGAATTCGTAAATCCAGGCAGAAATGCACGTGATGAAGCCGCCTCTATCAAAAATCATCATGTTTTGGATTCTGTTGCTGAACAATTGGGCGTCCCTTCATCGAAACTAGAACAAACTTTAACATATAAAACTAAATATATACGTAAAGAGCTGTGTACAGTATTTTTAAATGCCGAAGCTGCAGCTGAACAGAGAGACTCACTTGCACGTGCCTTATATTCTATACTATTCACCTGGATCGTGGAACATATTAACTCTAAACTTTGCAATTCGGATGAACCCCCAAATTTCATTGGACTTTTAGATCAACCTGGCTATCAAAATTTCACAAAAAATTCTTTTGAACAATTCTGCCTTAATGTAGCCTCAGAAGAGATTGAGAATTTCGTATTAAAGAATCTATTTGATGATACAATTGGAGGAAATGCTGAAATAAATCGCGACGGAGTTTCTTTACCTCGGGTTCTGACCATGGATAACAGTGGATGTGTAGAACTTCTACGAGGTAATGACTATATCACCTCCACCAATTCAAACGCCAAAAAGACTGGTTTAGTATCGATTCTCGATCAAGAATCTTTTAATGTACAAAACGGGCGAGAAGCTGGGGACGACGCAAACTTACTTTCGACTTTGCAGAAAACATTTAGCTCTCATTCATCATATGTTGCAAATGCTCCGAATTCGAAATTCTCTAAAGCAGGATCTTTTGGAATTAATCATTTCGCTGGACAAGTCAATTATTCAATTGACAACTTTATTGATAAAAATCTTGATAATTTATCAACTGATTTTGTCAATCTTTTCCGCGATACTAATAATCCATTCGTCAGTAAATTATTTTCGGGCCCTGCTTTGGCAATTGAGAATCACCCAAGAAATGAAAAAACCATTGTTATGGCTCAATTACCCACAAAACCAATGCGAGCTCCAAGTATGAAAAAGAGAAAGACTCGAGAAACAACTGATCTCGCTGCTACTATTGAAGAAGAAAAAAGTGGTAAGAAGAAACATTCTGCCGAAGTTTCAACAGTAATCACTCAACTCTACGGTACCTTGAATCAATTAATCGAGACGATGAATGAAACCCGTATGTGGAATATTATTCAGATTCGTCCAAACGATAATCATGAACCAAATTCATTTGATAATAAACGTGTTAAAGCACAAATTCGTAGTTTCCTTATACCAGATATTGTGAACCGTAAAAGAGTCGATTATACTGCTCATTACTCTTATTCGGATTTCATTGCTCGTTATGAATCAATCTTTCAATCATATAACTTGGATCCTTCACGCAGTGACCGACAAAAAGTGGAAGCTTTTGTGACACTTAAAGGATGGGGTGAAGGTGACATTGCTTTTGGTAGACAAAACGTTTTCCTTTCAGACCCAACATGGAAAGAACTAGAAGATACTTTAAGAGCAGCTGAAAAAGAAGAGCGAGCTAGAGCAAAACAAACGAAAGACGATGAAAGCTTAGCCAGTGGTTTTAATGGTGGGGGCGAACGTCCTCGTGGTTTAGCTGCCGCTAGTGCGACAAGTTCAATGGATCGATTAATTCCTACCCAGCGACCTGCTTATGGTAGTGATTTCTATGATGATCAAAGTTATGCGGGAAGTGAAGATGAATATTATTCAAGGAGTGGAGGCAATGCATTTAATGGCGAAGAGGAAGAAGCAATGTGGGGTAGTCAATGGGGTGGTAATAGCGGTGATGGGTGAGTATTATTTGAATTTTATTTATCGTGTATTTGAAAAGTTTAATAATGGCAATTCTCATAATTCAGAGCTACACGTGATGGGGATTTAAAGCAAGGGAATGAAAAGGGTGCTGAAGATGATGTAGAAGAGGAGCTTCCCATCACAAAGACGCGCATCTGGTGGGTTCGATTTGTCTGGTTTATGACCTGGTGGATTCCTTCATTTTGTCTATCGTGGATCGGTGGAATGAAACGTGCTGATGTACAAATGGCTTGGCGTGAAAAACTGGTCCTTTGCATGATAATCTTTTTAATGTCGGCCATAATTATCTTTTATATTATCTTTTTCGGAAATCTCATTTGTCCTGGTAATGATAAAGTATTCAGTGCACAGGAAGTTGGGTATCACACTGGTGACAATGACTTTTGGGTTAGTTTACGAGGAAAAATTTATGATATTAGTAGTTTCTGGCAAATGGATCATTCAGATGTTTCTGGTTTTCCCGCCGCATCTCAACAAATGCAAGATTTCGCTGGTACTGATGTCACGCCATTTTTCCCGATTCCTATCGCAGAAGCTTGCCAGGGACTTAATTTAAATGACCCAAACAATATCATAAAATTGCAGGTCAATACAACCAACGCATCACCATTTGGTTTCAAACATGAATATCCCAGTCGTATTTATCCAAATTCAAAATTGTCTAGACCCGATTGGTACACTGGAACTTTTATTCCACGCATGAAAGGTTTCTATAAGGCAGATCTTGTTTGGGATAAAAACGACATTGCTGATCAAGCTAGAACCCAAAATCGTAAATGGGCAATAATCAACAAGAGAGTCTATGATTTATCCGATTATTTCACTACTCAAAAATTCAACCAACAACAGAATGCACCAGAAGGAAATGCACCATTGCCGATCCCAAATTATCATTTTTTAGATAATGACGTGGAAACTTTATTTAATAGTCTTCCTGGCCAAGATATTTCTAGTTATTGGAGTCGTATTGATCCCACCACTCGAGCATATAATTTGGCTTGTATGGAAAATCTTTTCTTCGTTGGTCGTATTGATTTCCGTAAAACATTCAGATGTCAATTCAATAATTATATTCTTTTGGCCGTTTCTGTGATCCTCATGAGTGTCGTATTAATTAAATTCTTGGCTGCATTGCAATTGGGCTCAAGAAGAAAACCCGAAGAGCATGATAAATTTGTCATTTGTCAAGTACCTTGTTACACTGAAGGTGAAGATTCTCTTAAACGGACAATGGATTCTTTGGCTGCTCTTGTTTACGACGATAAACGTAAATTACTTTTCTTAATTGCCGATGGCATGATTATTGGTTCTGGTAACGATAGACCAACTCCTCGAATCGTGCTTGATATTCTTGGAGTTGATCCGAAGATGGACCCGGAACCTTTAGCATTCAAATCGGTCGGTGAAGGATCAGCACAATTAAATTACGGTAAAGTTTACTCTGGTCTATATGAATATGAAGGTCATGTGGTACCGTACATAGTGGTGGTAAAAGTGGGTAAACCATCTGAACTAAGTCGACCTGGTAATCGTGGTAAACGTGACTCGCAAATTATTTTGATGGGATTCTTGAATAAGGTTCATTTTGACTTGGAAATGACTCCACTCGAATTAGAGATCTATCATCAAATGAAGAATGTTATTGGCGTTAATCCGACCTTTTATGAATATATTCTGATGGTGGACGCTGATACGGAAGTATTACCTGACTCACTCAACCGCATGGTATCTTGTATGCTTCACGACGGTCGTATCATTGGTATTTGTGGTGAGACGACACTTATTGATGAGGAAGGATCATGGACCACTATGATTCAAGTTTATGAATATTACATTTCTCATCATTTGGCCAAAGCTTTTGAATCGTTATTCGGTTCAGTCACCTGTTTACCTGGTTGCTTCTGTATGTATCGCATTCGTACACCTAACAAAGGAACACCGTTGATTATTTCCAAGCTAGTCATTGACGATTATTCGGAAAATCACGTGGATACTCTTCATAAAAAGAATTTGTTGTCACTTGGTGAAGATCGATATCTCACAACCTTAATGATGAAACATTTCCCACAGTATAAAATGACTTTTACCCCAGATGCTCAATGTAAAACTGCCGCACCTGATCGATGGGGAATCCTTTTATCACAACGTCGTCGATGGATTAATTCCACTATTCACAATTTAATGGAATTGATGTTCTTGCCGGAAATGTGTGGTTTCTGTTGTTTCTCGATGAGATTCGTGGTCTTTATCGATCTTTTCGGTACTTTGATTCTTCCATCAACTGTTGTTTATATTATTTATCTCGTTTACGCTGTCGCCACCAGGAAACAAACTCTACCAATTATCGCATTAGCAATGTTAGCAGCTGTATATGGTCTTCAGGCGGTTATCTTCATTTTGAAACGTCAATGGCAACATATCGGCTGGATGATTATTTATTTGTTAGCTTTCCCACTTTTCTCCTTCTTTATTCCAGTCTATGCATTCTGGCATTTTGACGATTTCAGTTGGGGTAACACTCGTATGGTGGTCAGCGAGAAAGGCAAGAAGCAAATTATTAATAACGAAGAGGAGAAATTTGACGAAAAGATGATTCCAAAAAAGAAATGGGCTGACTATGAACAAGAAATGTGGGAAGTAGGAACAACTGTGTCTCACGAGTCAAGAGTATCGAGAGGAAGTGCTGCCTCATATCATAGTCGAGGTAGTCAACATAATTACGAGACAGGTAGTCAGTACGGTAGTCAATATGGTGGAAGTCAATACGGCGGCGGCGATTATTATCGTGATACAAATCTCGCATATCGTGATTCAAATCTCGCAGCTTCTGGAAGACGTAATAGATCACGTTCACCTGTTCCAAAATATACTTCGGATTATCGTTCCTCACGAGCATTTAGTAATGTTGGGGGCGATCATATCTCGGAACCACGAAGCTCGATGCTTCTTTCTCGCGATTTGGAAGCGCTGGCTTCAAGACCTCTAAGTTCATATTCTTCGCCAGCTGATGGTCCAACCGACGAAGAAATACTGCAGGAGATTAGAAATATCTTGGCCAATGCAAATCTTATGAGCATCACAAAGAAACAAGGTAATGTATATAATTTTATAATATGTAAGTTTCTAAGGATGAATATTCTCTGATACTAAATAATATGAATTTTTGTAGTGCGCGAACAATTAACTCAAGTATTTGGTGTTGACATGACTTCACGAAAAGAATTCATCAACAATAGCATTGAATTAACCCTTCAGGTAAATTTTCTTTATTACTGAATATTTTTTATACCTTTTTAAATAAAAACTAATCGTGATAAAATTAAATTAATTAATTTCAGGGCAAATTATAATGAAACAACATCTTAAAACAAAAATATTAGAAATTGGGATACAATCCTCATGTAGAATAAATTAATAATAAAGACAATTGTATGATCATCACGATAATACCCTTTTTTTCAATTTATCTTTTTTTTTTTACTTACAATCGCGCATACACTTTTACATTATTGTAATATTTGTAGTTAATTTTTGATCATGCGCCCAAAAAAACATTTTCTTTAGAATTTATTTCTTTCCCTCACGAACATTTTTTTTGTATTTATATTGATCGAGAGTTGATGGATGATGATATATAAAAGTACATTTTTATAATAAATTACCACTCCAACAAATACATACAAACATTAATGTAACAATGGACACTATATATATTTGACAAACACCAAAACAAAAACATTAGGTGATATCAATCTAACTGGTGTTATGAAAATGTTTAAATTTAGTAATGATATGCATTTTGGCGTAAACAACTCGACCTGACCAAGTTCGAACACAAAATTTGACAGATTTGCTTCTACCCTATTCATACCATCAATTCTTTCTCTCTCATTATCTATTTCTCTCTCATTTTTATCTTTATAGTAAACGACTATTTGCTTATAATACCTCTCTGCCCACATTATCAATATAAAAAATAGTATAGCTTGCGGAACTCCATTCGCTTCTAATACTCAAAAAAACTTGCAAAACGTCAAGAAAAGTCTACCATCCCAAGGCTGCTAGTAATTCGCGTCTGTCTGTTTACAAAACTCAACAAGAATCCACTAAGCAGAAAAGAAACAAGTTAGCTTGTTATCATCGATAAGAACATTAGGCATCTGTGGAGGCGAAATACAAGAAACTAAAATATACTTATCTTGCGCTGTGCTTAAGACACACACGAAATGAAGTTCAAGAGCGGTGTTTCTCAATCAATTCAGGACGTGTCAGTTAGTGATAATCAAACAAAAAACGACAATAATATATATAATAACCAGTTTTATAATGTATCCGATGGCGGTTATTCATCGTCTTCACACTCAGTAAACGATTCACAAATAATAACATACAATGAAGGAATCTCGGATCCGCAGACGTCAAGCGATGCGAATTTCGCTGTTAACTTTTCTTCTTATCAACCTAATTATCAAGACTCTGTCAACCACTCGAATAAAAACATGTACATAGTAAAGGGTGATGTGACAAAGCCAATAACGCTTCCACCTCAGGCTGAAGATACTTTATCAGTTGACATGTTATCTCTATATGAGGTATGTCAATTCTGACTGAGCATGTTCGAATTTCTAGATATTTAACCTAATTTTTTCATAATTCTCGTCATATATACCTTAAGACACTTTTACCGACTGCTGAAAGTGCTAAACGTAGAGAATACTTTGTAAATAAAATCGAAACTCTATTGAATGATGAATATCCCGAACATTCTATTAAAGTACACCTCTTCGGGTAGCTATTTTTTCTTTCTTTCTCGGTTCTTATCATCAACTTTAATGATTTAACGATTAACTTATCAATTTGATAAAATAATCATAGTTCTTCGATGAATGATCTCGGTAGTTCAAATTCTGATGTAGATTTATGCGTAACAACGGAGTGGAATGGACTTGAGAAAGTACAGACATTGGCAAAAGTATTTCGGAGGCGTAAGTCTGATCAAAGCGATATTTGGTTTTAAAGTTGGCATCAAGTATTCTCATATTCTCGTTTTTTATAGTGGGAATGAAAAGAGTTAATTGCGTACCAAAAGCAAAAGTACCCATTGTTCGATTATGGGACCCAGAATTGTAAGTGTATGTTTATGCTTTGATTTTAATATTACAACAAACAATCAAATATTTCTATTTATCTATCCATGCTATAGACATCTTGCTTGTGATTTAAATGTCAATAATACGTTGGCATTACACAATACGCGACTTATCAAAACATATGTAAATATCGATCCGAGAGTGCGTCCCCTTGCGATGATCTTAAAACACTGGGCTAAACGGAGAGCATTAAATGACGCAGGTATTGACTTATATATATTTAGTATTCAATCGACTAGAATTAATAAAGATGCTCGCTCACTATAATTAATTTCTCATATAAATCAGCTAAAGGCGGCACACTCTCCACCTATACCTGGACTATTATGATTTTAAATTTTCTTCAAATGCGGGAACCTCCGATATTACCAGTTCTTCATCAAATAGATACTGGTACAGAACATACTTTCGTAGATGGTTTCGATGCATCATTTTATGATGATGTTGAATCCCTTCGTGGCTTTGGCGATGCTAACAAAGAATCAATTGGTGGACTTTTATTCGCGTTCTTTAGACGGTGAGAATTTTTAATTTATGGTTGTAAATTTTCTTTTTCAATTTACTGAACATGTATTACTAATATCATAGTTTTGCATTTGAATTCGATTATGAGCATCATGTCATTTCAATTCGACAAGGCAAATATCTAACCAAAGCAGAGAAAAACTGGGATTCACGAGGCTGGCTACTGTGTGTTGAAGAACCCTTTAACACCGCACGAAATCTTGGCAATAGTGCGGATGTGGTCACGGTTAAAGGACTTATTGGCGAATTCAAAAGAGCCTTTAATATTCTATACGATAAGGTCAGCTTGGAGATTTGCTGTAGGCAATATTATTTCCCGAAATTTGGTCACAATCAGCAACCCCTACAACTAACACAACGCAGCTCTTGGAACAATTACAATAATAAATCATCCTCAAACGGAAAAAGGGAAACTACTAATAATTATTCGAATGTGAACACGAAGTATCAGAATAATGGACATTCAATCGGAGGCTCGGGAGATAAGCGTGGTGGTGGAGGAAATAATTACAATGGTCAAAATTATGTACAGTCTAATCCCAGACGGATAAATGATTATAAAAATAATGGGCGCATAAATGGAGGACAATTTAATAATAGCAATAGTAGTGTTAGTGGTTTTCAGAGTAATGAGCATGTAAATAATGAACACACAAATGGACAATATAGTAATGTACGCAAGAATAATACGAACGGTGGTCGTATTAATACTGGACAATATAATAATAATGGAAGAGGAGGAAACCATAACGATAACAGACATGTGACTGATGCGAGCATTAGCCCTGAACATTATAATATTATTCAGAGTAATATTAACAATGGTAATAACGGTGGACGCATCAATAATAATAATAATAATAATAATAATCATCATAATAATAATAATAATAATAATCATAATCATAATAATCATAATAATCATAATAATCATAATAATCATAATCATAATAATAATAATAATAATAATAATAATAATAATAATAATAATAATAATAATAATAATAATAATAATAATAATAATTATAATTATTATAATAATAATAATAATAATAATAATAATAGTAGTAGTGGTAGTAGTAATAATAATAATAATAATAATAATGATGATGATGATGATAATAATAATAATAATAATAATAATAATAACAATTATAGAGGCATTACTATTGGCCGTTATATTGGTGGTGCTGAGAATAATGCGCATGTTAATGACGGACGCCTTTATTATAGCATAACAGATAGCGAAGATTTACAATGCAATAACAATAATCCTCGAAATTTAGTTAATGAATATTCAATCATATCACAGGATGATGCACGATTGAATAATAACAAAAATAGAGATAGTCAGTACAGCACCAGTAATACAGATTCAAGCCAATTCACACACACAGGTCCTGGATTGTCCTCATACGAATTCCATCCTTCGCCGAATGGTAGTAGTGCTGATTGGCATAGTATACACAGCAACAGCACGGATAATATCAATAATAGTGGGAGGAGTAACTCGGTTAATAGTTCCGAATACAGTCATAATCTTCATTTTTATGATGATGATGCTTATAATAACAAAAATATGACTTCTGAGGAGCTTATAAAAATGGAAAATTATACAAAGAAACAGACTTTTCAGTCAAACTCTAATATAATCAATAATAATGCACGTATAGATGAGAATCAGTATTTGTCGGATGTTGTTGAAGAATCTGTGCGTTTATGGGTGATTAAGTCACCAGATAATTCAATATCAGATAACAACAACACGGATGTAAATAAGTTCAACAATGACGTAAGCATAAACTCGTTTAAAGGTCTTACTGGTAATAATAATAACGATGATGATGATGATAATCATAATAACAATAACAACAACAATACTAATAATGATACTAATAACAATACTAGCAATAGCAATAGCAGCAGCAGCAGCAACAACAATAGCAACAATAATATTATTGATGTGCATATACAGCATTCTACTTATCAGCCACAGCAGAATCGTAAAAATAACCATCGTTACAACAAAAATCGATGGGTAAATAACAATAATAGTTATAATAATGTGTCTGCTCATCACCAAGGTGAAAAAGTACTTCAAGTTGCAAATGTACACATTCCACCATCTCAACAATCATTATCACCATTGTCGTCGCCTGGGAAACCACAAGAGAATTACCGACGTAAAAGTCCAGCGCAATCAGGAAGTCACCAACAACAATCACCAATTGACAATGAGCATCAAAGGAGTTCGCAACAACAGCGTGGCCATCAATCCCAACACCACCACCCACTGCAAAATGAGCAGTTAGGTTTTTCACCTCCATCATCGTCTAAAAATTTACAGAATGGACAGCAACAGCAATCACGCGGTAATGACGGCGGCATTGCTGCTACTTATCAACCTAAACAGCGACCACAGCAGAGTAATCAAATAAAAAGACAGAATGCTCATCAACAACAATATTATCATGGAGTTGGAACCCAACAATCCCAACAAATAATGCAAATTCCCAAGGAGTCATCTTCACATTATTCACAACAACCGCAAAATGATCAAGGTTTTCCGACACCGAAGGAATCATATTCACAGCAACCTCGTGGTATCGGTGTTGTACAATATCAAAAGCGACCACAAAATGATCAGTTATCGCCTAAAAATTTACAAAATGTGCAGCAGCAACCACGTGGTGCCCAATCACAAAAGAGATTACAAAATGATAAATTATTGTCCAAAAAGGTGCAACATACGCAGCGTGTTGCTCAATCTCAATTGCGATCGGAAAACAATCAACAATTAGTTCCAACTCCAAAAGAGTCGCAGCAACATGTACCGCAATCTCGTGGTTCAGGTCAATCCCAGCAGAGATTGCAAAATGTCCAGCTAGTTTTTTCAACACCGAAAAAGTCCTCGCATATTCCGCAGCAATTTCGCGGTAGTCAACAGCAACAACAACTACTGCATATTGATCAATTGGGTTTTCCGTCACCTAAAAAAGTGCAGCAATCCCACATCGGATCTCCTCTTCAACAACAGCTGCAAAATGACCAATTATTATTCACAACTCTAAAGGAATCACAGCATATGCAGCAATCTCATCCTGTTCAGTCCCGACAGCGACCACATAACAATCAATCGTCTTTCCCGTCCCAAAATCGTGGTAATGGTGGTGGTAATGTTCAATATCATCAACAGTCGCAAAATGATCAATTGCAAAACTATCAAATAGTGTTTCCAACTCCCAGAGAATCACACGTACAACAATCTCGTAATATCCAGTCTCAACAGAGATTGCAACAGCAAAACCCAGGTCCTCCACTGATTAAGGAATCATCACATCATCAACCACGTACCAATGATCAATTTCTGCAGCAGTCACAAACCGAACGAACTAGTAATTTCGATTTAGGTTTCCCGACACCGAAAGAGTCGTTGCATGCGCAACAACAGCCACGTAACAACCAGCCACCTCTTCAACAGCCTTATCAACCAAGAAACAATAATAATGACGATGATTACGTTCAGCGTTCACAAACTAACAAACAAACAGGACAAAATCAAAAAGAATCTCGACAGGCAGGTATCCAGTCTCAAAGAATGCAACCGAAACAGAAAAATATAAAGAAATGAATTGTTGTAAAATGTTCATTAGTTAATTTTTTATCATAATTGGTTTATATTATATATATATATATATGTTATTAATTTGTTATATTTGTTTGTATATTTGTTATTATTTCAAAAGTTGAGCTTTTTATCATAATTATATCATTATCATCGTCAATTTAAAGCATATTTTCTCAAATAGTAAATACAGAAATAAATATATATATAAATAAATAAATAAATAAATAGAATAGACTAGATTACAAGAAAATAATTTAGACAAAAACAAGATAAACGACCACGATAATAAAAAAATTTGGTTTTATAAGCTCGTAAAAATCACGATTCTTTACCATTTTTCGAATATTGTTGTACAAAAGACTATTTTTTATAATGATGAATTTTAAATCAATATATATGCGATGTGTGTACCAAAATGAGCTTCACAAAAAAATGATTTATTTAATTCTCACCCCACAAGTGCGTTTGATTCCTTCTTCTAAATCAACAGGCGGGTTATATCCAAGTATAGTCTTCGATTTGTTGATATTAAAGTAACGTGATGAACACGCGAACTTTACTCGGTATCGAGTGAACCCTTCTTCACGATTGAACAGGTAACAAGCCCATTCGGCACAATAAGCCAGAGCGAGCCCGGCAGCTCGTGACAGTTTTATATAGTATGGTGGAACATGATTAAATTGGCTCCAGATAAATCGTGGCATGTCCCAGAATGGAATAGGAGTCCCGTTAGTGATTATGAATGCCTTTTCAGCATGAGGACACAGAATATTTATTATAACGGTAAAAAGGATAATAATATCATGCAATCAGAAGAATGTTTTTTGATATTTACCTCGCCGCCTACTTTAATATCAGGATCGCTACTCAACTTGTCCATCGCAAGCAAATGAGCATACGCGACATTCTCGACATACGTGAAATCAAATAAATTGAAATTATCACCGATTTGAAATTTTGTTTGACCTCGTTCCATCACTTTTATCATTCCTGCTACTAATTGCTGATCTCGAGGTCTATATTAAATTGAATTCATCATACATACATACATACATACTCTTCGATCAATAGGATTTATATAAAATATTTTCACTCACCCAAATATGGCTGATGGACGAATAGCACAAGTCAAGAGGTTATTTTGTCCATTTGCTTCAAGCACAATTTTCTCTGCTTCTGCCTAATTACCAGGAATAACTATTGTAATTATCATAATTATCATCATCATCATCATCTAAGATAATAGATATATAAAATTATTAACCTTTGTCTCATGGTAACTATCATGGAAAACTTCCGGAAACGAAGCGGTCTCATCGACATTGATCAAATCATTAATTCCATCATACAGAACACCAGCACTACTGGTGTACACTAATTTTTCGACATCATTCTCCAAACAAGCTTTTAGTATGTTTTTCGTCCCGCCCACATTGACGTCCCAATATATTTTGGAACTTAAGCCATGCGGTGGTGACGCTGTATGTATCAAGAATTTCGCGCGAGATTTTACAATTGCTGAACTAATATCTTCGTATTGCGTGAGGTCTCCAATATAGTAAGTTAGTGTTTCCTCGAAGTATCGCTGTTGTAAATCGAAAATTGAAATCGCGTAATTTGGTTGGTCTGGGTCAGAATTACGACGAAGCAATAGTTCTACTATCCAACGACCGAGGAACCCGTCACCTCCTATTACTAACACATTGTTCATTTCGGGTCGCGTATTAATATTCTGTCGTTATTCACATGGTTCGATAATTTTTATTACATCTATATGGTTACCCGTTACTCAAATCGGAAAAGATATTCTACATTTTTATCGTTATAGGCAAATTCATCTGGTCAAAAGAGAGGATAATAACCTCTACAACTTTCCTCCATCTTTCTCAGCTTTCATGACACGCTGATAATTATTATTAATTTTTATTTCATATATATTCTTTTTCAAAAAGAAAGAATATATACTGAATTAAAAAAACACACACATTTTGTCAATAATACTAATATTTATTTGAACAGTAGTTGATTTGAATAGTGGTAGATGTCTTCTGCGTATCCAAGTAAACGTAAGCGTTACGTAGATTTTGAGAAACCTATACATGCACTAGATTTTGCGCACATCGAGTGCTATCCAGCGACAAGTAAACGTCAAAGAAGAATATACGCACGAGAATGGCACGTACAAGACTCTTCGTTTGGAAGAAATTCTGTGCCGTGGACTCCATCGCCACTTGGCATAATCCCAATAATAATATCCGATTTGAAATCTTCTAATTCTGGTAACAACACATCCCCATCATCACCCAAAAGTGAAACAACTCTTGATGAGTCTCATCAAATATCCACTTTACCATCATCATCATCACCATCATCACCATCATCATCATCATCATCATCATCATCATCATCATCATCATCATCATCATCATCATCACCATTAAAAAATGAACCCATCATATCACCCGTAATTTCAGTGCGGCACATTCCAAAATCAGTTCGAGCTAATTTTGAACTCGTTAAACTGATGAGAGATAAAAATAATTTTGAACGTGAAATTGCCACAGCGCGTCGACATAGAACAAAAGGGAAAGAATTCCCAGACTTGGAAATTGTAGCCGCTCAAGGACCACCACATTATAAATCACGCGGCAAGGACATCATAGAAAAGATTAAAGATAATGACTACGATACCCTGTTGCCGGATAAAGTGTGGAAAAAGTCATTGAGATATAAAATTGGTGTTATTACCAGAAAAGTGGTCAAGAAGCGAATAGAGAAAGCAAAGAAAATGGAGGAAAAACATCATTGTTCTCTTCATAATCGACCTCGGATGAAGGGTCAGCAAAATGACATATTAGGTTCAACATTACCATCGTTAGCGTCATAATATTAGTATTATTTTATTGAATTTAGTGTGCGAAAAAAAAACTAAAAGAAAAAACTAAAAAAAAACGTTCTTTTAAATTAGAATCTTTCACATATAGAAAAGTATAATATGATTTATGTGCTTTATAGCGTATTAACGAACATTTTACTAGGAAATTTCAACCCTCCCTTTCGTTTTCGTAATAATGTTTGATGTTGTGTGTTTTTATATATATGAATTTTATAACTCTCGCCGAGTTATCATGTAACAATCGTTGTCATCATGATGCTTGAATTAAGAAACCAACCAAATATATATATATATTTACCATTGCAGAAAACTAAAGAAAACTTGTGATACGTACTGTCATAACGATACATATCAAATACGAATACATTTTAAAAGTGGTCTTGTCAGTATGGTGTCTTTTTAATTATTATAAAAATAACCACAAATATAAATTAATCATTCCATACAAAATAAATATACTTGGTCTCCAATGAATTTTACACACACTCACACTCACTCTCATTCCACATCTCCGCAAATTTTTGTTTCTTATAATATAATCCATTTACCCGTACATCAACCTCTAACCATCGAATTGCAATAACTAATTCATCCAGAGAATGGTTTCATTTCAACACTGTCTGGTTTTACATTTTCATATATACTTCCAATTATTTTTAATCCCTCCGCACGTTTTCGTAATATTGCTTTTTGTACTTTCGTATCTGTCAGCACTCGATCACACACCTCCCTTAATACACTTTCTACTTCAAGTTTTGAACCTCTCCATAATGCCGTTAAACCCTATTATTTTGAATATATAAGTCATAAACATTTAAAATATCTACACAATTAAAAACAAAAAAATAATAATAATAATAATAATAATAATAATAAAAATACTTTATTTGCAGTAGCCTCTTGTAACTTGGTCTTTTCATTTTCATCAAGACCCTTTTTTTCAGCTTCTTGCAGTTGATTAAATGACTGCTGTAAGTCTATTGCAGACTTCAAGGTTGATAGTGTTTCACTAAACACGTGTCCCTTTTCTCGAAGAATATGTCCAACTCGAGGCAACCCAAACATTTGTTCCCCTCCTAAATACTGTTTAGCCTTCAACGAATAAGTGAAACCAATTGCACGTAATAATTCCACGCCATATGATTCTGTCTTTAGTTCATCTGCTTCGATTTCAATCATTTTACTATACGCTTCCTCCTCGGCACTATTATTCGATTCAACATATATTGTCAGTTTGTGAATTAAATTTGCCACCAATTTTTCAATACGTTGCTGTTTAATTCGTTCTCGTTCTTCATCCATGATATTTTTGTTTGCTTCTTTTCGTATTTTAACTTCAGATGTATCGGTGCCATCCTCTTCTGCTGCATTTTGTAATACTTCTTTCATGTCTCGGCCAATTGATATCTCGCCGATTATATCGACAAAGCGATCTCCCCCGAATTGTTGTCTGAAGAAATCTTCAGGATTGACTATAATTTTTATGTTCATAGATTGACAATAATATAAGCACGAATAGATAAAAAAAATTTTGACATTAAAGAAAAAAGTTTTCAATACCAAAGCCTCCTTCGGGTTCAACATCTCGCGTTCCAAATTCATTATATTTTCTTCTTAATACCGGATCTGATAATACTTGATATGCTACTGATATCTCTTTAAACTAACGGATAAATTGAACAACTTTTAGTGATGAATCTTTCCTCTGCATATTATTATAATAATAATAATAATAATAATAATAATAATAATCATATCAAAATCAATTTCAATTCACATACCACTTGCTCTGCATCTGATGCTTTATTTTTATCTGGGTGATATTGGAGGGCCAGTTTATAATACTGTTTTTTTATTTCATTTACATCCGCAGTTGGTGATACCCCAAGGAGATCATAATACTTAGTCTCCAATGGTTCTTGGTCTGAAATTGGTAAAGAAACCGCGTACATTGTAAAAAAAAACAACCAATGTATTTTCAACACAAGAAAGTTAGACTTCTTTGAGTATAACCTGTTCCAAATTTTCGTCTCTGAGCACCCTTTTTAGTGCTAGTTCCATTAGTAGCATTCTTAGAATTAGTCAAAGATATGGTATTAAAGGTGTTCTTTTTGGAACAAGAGTAACATTGGACGTGAATCGTTGGCGTTGTGGTATTTGGTATTTTGAACTCCAATTCTTTCTGACAAAAAGAGCATGTTTTATGCTGGTACTCTGGTTTTTGAGAGAGAAGGACGTGTGTGGTCATGTTAGACTTCAAAGGATTAGAGTAAAGCACCATAAAAGAAAGGTAATCTCTCTAGATCTGTGATGAATCACCTAAATTAGACTCAAATTCCCCCAAAATAAGATTTATGCATGTGAAATTGGACAATGACCCCGGTGTTATTTCGTTTGTCCCATTTGGGTTAACGTTTGGAAAAAATTCGTTAGCTCACATGAGTCATTATTTCTTTTTTTCAACGAAAAATTTATCTTTATAACCATGAATATATCGCACCCTATTGGAACCGAAATTCACTCGGTCGCTTTCTCATGCTATAGCCCTGAAGAAATACGGAAACTATCCGTAAAACGGATTACACATCCGGAGGTTTTTGATAATTTAAACCAGCCAACCACGGGTGGGCTGTACGACTTGGCCTTGGGACCTTTTGAACGCGGTTATGTGTATGCCTGATCATGTTCGCATTTTCATGTTTCTTTTTTACTTCGTTCTCACTGTTTTTTGATCTGATTGGCTGAAGTTGTCACACGTGTCGACTCGATTACTTTTCGTGTCCGGGTCATTTTGGTCATATTGAACTTCCGTGTCCTGTATATAACACACTGTTCTTTCCGCACATGTATATTTTGTTGAAATCGACTTGTTTGAATTGTCATCAATTTAAATTAAATAAAACGAAAGTATGTATAATCGAATAAATGAATGGAGGGATGAATTAATATGGATATCAATCTAATATCAATAGAGCTATCGAATCGCTGCAAAATTACTATTGTTGGAAAAAGGGCTTTTAATTGAATCCCACAAAATTGATCACCTAAAGATCGAAGAACAAGATAAAGAAATAAATGAAGATGATGAAGATGATAATGATAATGATATGAGGCTCATTAGTATGTTCATAAATTTATTTTTGTCCGATCCATATGCAAACGCGTATTTTATTCTTAATATTCTTTGTTCTAAGATAATTATTTAAAGGAAGTACTTGCACAATCTAACACTGAACCTAATTCAACAACTGTTAATGCCGAAAAAAAGAGAATAATAAAAGAATTTTTAAAAAAAACTGTGTTGATTGGAAAATGTCACAATTGTAAAACGTAAGTGATGAATATTGCAAGTCTACAGATCAAATGATAATTTATCCGAGCAATGAATAATAATAAAAATAAAAAAAATAGACCATCGGCAGGTTACAGAAGATACGGTCACATCAAAATATTTCAAATTATATCAAAAAAACGACAAAGAAAGAAAAAAAACACAAATGAAAATGAGTTAGAAGATGAAAGCGAACCAGACGAAAATCAAGACGAAGCAACTATCTTACAGCGAGGAAAATCTGCACCCCATAGATATTTGACACCGACGGATGTTCGTAAGCATCTCGATCTGTTATTTCAAAAAGAGTCTACACTTTGTTCGTTATTATATGGTCGTCACGGACTGCTTTCATCGCGATTTTACCTTCGCGATAGATCAATACACGGATATCGTGATAACAGCAGCAGCAGTAAATCAAATACAATACACGTTAACGCAGATATTTTCTTTCTTGAATTGATTGCTGTTCCACCAACTCGTTTTCGTCCGATATCCGTCGTTGGCGATAAACAACTGGAAAATACACATAATACACATTTCAAAAGAATTCTTAAAGCTTGCGCAAAATTCTCAATAAATGCACAGAACGATATCACTAAGAAAAAAGATGAGGCAGGGATAGGAGATTACAATAGTGCTGAGAAAACAAACATCAGTAAAAAGGAAAAACTTCAAAGTCTTTTGAATGCATGGAATGAATTACAATCTGCTGTCAATGGGTTAATTGATACCACGAAAGCTGCTCACTTAGCTTCTAGAGGGCGACAAATCTTACCTAGTGGAATTAAACAAATCTTGGAGAAAAAAGAGGGTTTATTTAGGAAACATATGATGGTAATAGTTAATTAAATATCGATATTAAAGCTTCATCTATTCTTTAATAATGTATACCTGTATAACTCAAAAATATATTAGGGTAAGCGTGTTAACTATGCGGCACGTTCAGTAATTTCTCCTGATCCGAATGTAGAAACATTTGAAATTGGGGTAAATCTGTAATTGATATCGGATATAAAACGCAGAAATTCTTATTAATACAACCTATCATCTATTAGATACCAGTAACTTTTGCTAAAATTCTGTCGTATCCCGAACCAGTCACCCAATACAACATAAAAGAAATGCGTGAAGCTGTAATAAACGGCGCTCATCAATGGCCGGGTGCAGTTTCAGTTCAACATGAAGATGGAATGGTTCAATTATTATCACGACTATCTTTAGAATCGCGTATTGCACTTGCCAACCAACTTCTGACTCCACCCGCTAATCCTTCAAAATCAATATTCGCACTTCCCCCCAAATCTCCAACCTCAAATAAAAAAGTGTTACGTCACTTACGCGATGGTGACATATTGCTTTTGAATCGACAACCGACACTTCATAAGCCTTCAATTATGGCACATCGGGCTAAAGTGTTGCCTGGTGAGATGACAATTCGAATGCATTACGCGAATTGTAAAGCGTATAATGCTGATTTTGACGGGGATGAAATGAATTTGCATTTCCCACAGAATGAAATTGCACGTGCTGAAGCTGAAATTATTGGTAACACCAATGAACAATATCTTGAACCTACTTCTGGATCTCCGTTACGTGGTTTAATTCAAGATCATGTGGTGATTGGTGTATGGATGACATCGAAAGACACGTTTTTCACAAAGGAGCAGTATCATCAGATACTTTATAATGCTCTTAGGCCGGAGGAGAATTATGGAACTGTAGCTGTAAAAATTTTAACAGTTCCTCCTGCTATACGGAAACCGAAACAATTGTGGACAGGAAAACAAATGGTAAATCATAAATTTATTTTATATTTTATTATTAAAATGGCTCTCGATATAAGAAACTCTCGATATAAGAAATGCTTGATATAAGAAAGATGATTCAAAATCAACCGATTTAACATAAGAAAATTATTTAATGATCCCTCGATATATAAGAAAGCGTGGGTTGTATTATTTATTCATTCTTAGTATAACATGTTAATAATCAAATCGAATCAAATGATAGATTTCTACAGTGTTAAAGAATCTAACGTACGGCATGATACCACTAAATCTCACTTCCAAAGCGAATATAGCCGTTCGGTATTGGGGAGGCAGTGCACCAGAAGAGGCGACCGTAATCTTCATGGACGGTGAACACTTAACCGGTGTCTTGGATAAAGGACAATTTGGTGCAACAGCATTCGGTCTAGTTCATGCATGTTACGAACTGTATAATTCTTCAATTGCTGGTAAATTACTTAGTATATTGGGTCGTCTATTCACAACTTATTCACAATGGCGGGGCTTCTCTTGTCGTATGGATGATTTGAGATTGACTTCTGAAGGAGAAGAAACTAGACGCAATTTAATGCAGAATACTTCGAAATATGGACGAGATGTTACTTATAGCTATGTTGGATTGAATCCTGTCGATGATAATAATAATAATAACATAAAAGAAAAAAAAAGCACATTAAAAGGTATATATGGCAAATGTATATTAACTCTAATATTCATTATGACTATAATAATAACAACAATATTATTTATTCTTGTATTAAAGAATTCAAAAGTCGGATAGAAGAAGTATTCCGTGATAATGAAAAACAGCGAGGCTTAGATGCCTCAATGAAATCGAAAATGAATAATTTGACATCATCAATTATTAATGAATGCATACCTAACAAATTGGTTTGTATCTAGAGTTTCTTCTCATAGAGACCTTTATATTATTAAGTTAATAATGTTAATTAAAATTAGCACATCAAATTCCCTGCAAATAATATGCAAATGATGACTGTCTCGGGTGCAAAAGGAAGCAATGTAAATGTCTCGCAAATTTCTTGTGCTTTAGGTAGGTCTCGTATGCGATTTTGATACCCTGAATTGAAGTACAAGTACACGTTAATTATGTCAAGGTCTCTTGATACCTGTGAAATTATTTGCTCATATTTCTACGGCTGCTCTTTTGAAACTAATAATTGCATTTTATATTTATATCCAATGCTAAAAAATTAATTTGATATTTTGACTAAAAGGTCAACAAGAATTGGAAGGACGACGTGTACCAGTTATGGTTAGCGGCAAGACACTGCCTTCTTTTCTTCCATATGAGACTGCTCCACGTTCCGGTGGTTTCATAAGTGGCAGATTCTTGACTGGAATTAAACCGCAAGTAATTTATTTATTTTGATCCTTAATTTATATGAATGATAAAAATAAACAAACCATATTAATATTAAATAAAATAACTATAGGAATACTTTTTCCATTGCATGGCTGGCCGTGAAGGATTAATCGATACAGCTGTGAAAACAAGTCGCTCTGGTTACTTGCAGCGATGCTTAATCAAACATTTGGAAGGCTTACGTGTACATTACGATCACACAGTCCGTGACAGTGATGGATCTGTAATTCAGTTTCATTACGGTGAAGATTCATTGGACGTCACCAAACAAAAATATCTCTATCAATTTAATTTCAGTGTAGATAATTTTGATGCATTCTCGAAAAAATATCATATCGGAAAATTTGTTCATGGTATTGACCAGAAACAAGCTATAGAATATTTGAAAAAAGCGTTACCGAGTCCAGATAAATATGATCCAGTCTTATCGGTGTTTACTCCAAGTCGAAATATTGGTAGTGTTTCGGAAAAATTCGAATCTGATTTAACTGAGGTGATTACAATAAAATTTGTGTTAATTTTCCATTGACCTATAATTAACATTTAATTATTATTTACAAAAAATATAAGTATGTTAAAAAAAATAAAAGGGAGTTAAAATCACGCTGGAAAAAAAAGATATCAAAGGGTGACTTTGGGGCTTTAATGTATTTGCGATATCTTCATTCACTTGTCGAACCCGGTGAATCGGTTGGAGTACTCGCCGCTCAAGGTGTTGGTGAACCATCCACTCAAATGACATTAAACACCTTTCATTTTGCAGGGTAAATAAAATAATTTGTGTGAAGTCTTAAAATCATCTTCGCAAGTTTACTATTAACATATATTTGAACATGCACTTAGATTTGGTGCCAAAAACGTAACACTAGGTATTCCGCGTCTGCGTGAGATAATTATGACCGCCTCTGCAGAAATCAAAACCCCAATGATGACATTGCCCTTACTTCCACATCTTACCGATGAGTTGGCCGACAAATTCGCTCGAACCATTTCTCGATTAACTTTGGCAGAGGTTGTGGATAATGTAACGATAACTGAGAAATTAGAAAATAAGTCCCCAAGAATATTCAACAAAACGTATACGATAAAGCTTAATTTTTTCCCTCAAGAAGAATATATGGAGGAATATGGAATTTTACCGGCGTTGATTCAGGAAGTGATTGAGGAACGATTCTTGAATATTTTGGAAGCCTCTATAAAACGATTGCTTAAAGGAAAAAGCAGCGAAAAATCATCCGGTAGGTGTGACAAGTCTTTTAGTGTTCTCTCTTGTTAATTGATCCTTTATTTATTAATTTAGAAATAGATTATAAGGAAGCATTAGAAGATTTTGCTATACCCTCTCAAAATATCGATAATTATAAGCAGACGAATGTCGATGATACAACTGTAGATAGTGATGCAGAATATGGTAATTTTGTTTTTATAAAGAAATAATTCATCTTTAATCTTAGCTTATATACAAGAATATTATAAAATTACACAGATTCTGATAACGGAGACGACGATGCAACCACTGCAAGAATTAATTCAAGACGTAAACAATTAACGAGCTATGAAGAACCAGATGAGGATGACCTGGAAATAATTAGACGAGCCGATGAAAATTCTGATATTGAAGACGAATACGCTAATACATCAAAGAAAGATGAAAAGACTGAGGCAGAAACAGATATAGAGACGGAAAATGCAAGAATCATAGAGAAATTAATATATGTCTCTCGATATTCTTTTGCTCGGGATGGTGCTTCCTGTAAAATTGACTTGAAGTTTCCCCCAAACACACAGAAAATCTTATTATTGGATATAGTGGAAAAAATATGTAAAGATATATCATTGAGAGAAATCAAAGGCATTAATAAATGTTATTCTATCGTTAACGAGAAATCAAATGATACTTCGGTAAGCACTGTATTCAGATTCGTACATATAAGCAATTGTCATTTTTATTAATTTTTCGTAATTTTAGAAATCACTTGCAACGGAAGGAACAAATCTTCAAGGTATCTGGCTATTCTCTGAAATAATCGACATCAATAAAATATACACGAATGATATCGCCGCGATGTTAAGAACTTACGGCGTGGAGGCAGCACGCGCGACAATCATTAAAGAAATTTCGAATGTGTTTGGTGCGTACGGGATAAAAGTAGATCTTCGACATTTAACGTTAATTGCTGATTATATGGTGAGTTTATTTTTTTTCTTTACTATTTATACCATCATTCCATTCATAATTGTATTCTTTTTTTAAAGACTTTTGAAGGAAAATATAAACCATTTAGTCGCCACGGAATCGATTCAAACATATCACCGTTCCTCAAAATGAGCTACGAAACTACGTGTAATTTCCTAAGAGAAGCTGCACTATTTGGAGAATTTGATACACTTTCTTCGCCTTCTTCGAGATTGGTCGCTGGAAAAGTAGTCGAATCTGGTACAGGCGCGTTTAGAATATTACAACCTATCAATGCCAATTTCTAGCATAGTAAAATAATGTATATACATGTTGTGCCCCAAATCACAATCGGCCCAAATTAGAATAGAGGTATGACCAGAATTAGAGCGAGGGTTAGTGCTGGGAGACTGTTTATTTAGTTAGGATTTTGATATCCCGATTGTCATTTGAGGCAGACACGTATATGACATGTGTTGGAACGGAATATTTTTCAACTATTGAGCATTAAAAAATACAACTTGAATTGCTAAATCCTGAGGTTTGCTTAATTTAGTTCAATTTTAATTACATAGTCAATCTGGATGTAACGAATGTACTATGTAACGAATCTAATTTAACTCAGGAATATACTGAATTTGAGTTCCAGACCCATTTATAATAAAAATCTTTGAATATAGAGTGAATTAATAAACTCGTGATATAGTGTAGAACATCTAAACGCATCATAAGAATAGAATAATTCATGTTTGTTAATTTTTTTCCACAACTTAATAATAGACATATTAATGAATGAAATTATGAAAAAACATTTTAAAAATTCTTTTTATTTATGAATATCTTTATCTTTTAAATATTGCTTATAAATTTGAAAGGATCAACCTGTTCACAAGTTATATATTCTCTTGCATAAAGTAAGTTTTTTGTATTTATTCATATTTTTCAATTTTATCTAATATTTAAATAGTTATATAATTAAATTACTAATAAATTTTTATTCAAGAATTAATCCTAATAAAAATATATATAAGATAATATATTCTTAATTAATAATAATATTATAATAAAAAAACTATAATACTATATTATAATAATAAAAAAATTATATAATTAAAAATTAATCATAAAAAAATTAATTTATTTATATAAAAATATTTATTATTAATATTAATAATAATAATAAAAAATTAATTATTAATAATTTTCTATTTAATTGAATAAATAAAAATAAATTAAATATAATAATAGTAATTATATATAATTAAAAGAATTAAATATTAAATATAATCAGATTTATATAGTAACAATCAAAAATAATGTAATGCTTAAATTTTTTACTAATTATAATTAGTAAAAAATTTAAGCATTCCATTATTTTTGATTACCACTATATTTCTTTATAATTATTTTTTTTATAATTATTATTTTTAAGTTTTTTAATTACTAATTAATTATAATTAAAAAATCTTTTTATAATTATATCTTTTTTTAAATATCTAATTTTGCTTTTTTAAGTATAATAATTATAAAAAGATTTGATCATAATTTGAATAAAATCTATAAATCTATTAATAAAATAATAAAATATATTTTTTTATATTAAAATATAACATTTAAATATTTATTAGTAATAAAATTAACTTATATATTATTATCTTTTTGATATGAATTCTGAGGTGAGAATGAGTATTAAACTTAATATTACAAAAGTACGTGATAAAAGTGATCATGTACTTAAAGTGATATTTAGAAGAGTTTTTAAAAGGTTTATTAACAAGAATATATTTACTATTATTTCAAAGTTAATCTAAAGGTAGGTAATGATAGTGTTCTTGTTATGACTAACTAGAATATAATCCAATTCTAATATGTAATTTCAAGACAGATGTAATATTCAGTTTATTAACAAGATGAATTAATAAATCTTAATCAAGATCTATTTTACAAGAGAAATTCCTTAGAATTCTCTTAAAACTATAATCTACTAAGATGTGAGTTGAGAACTAAACTTATAGAACTCAAACTAAACTAAATAACTAATTATCTGATTACTTAACTGTCTAATTAACTATCTATCTAAATTCACTAGCTAAGATATATTACTTTTATATATTTTAGAGATTATATGAATGATACTTTTATTATAATACTTATATTAGTTTTGCTATAATCTAAATGTTACTTTAGCTAGTATCATAATATTGGTTTTGTTATAATAGTATTGTTAGTTTTGCTATGATAGTTTTGCTAACTTTACTATAATGATTTTGTCATGATTATCATGTTTACAAAATCTTCTAAAAATAAGTATAAATAATATTTTCTAAAGCTAATATCTAATAAGATATAAATAATTATTCATTCAATCAAATTGTGATATGAAGTGACCAATAATAAAATTAACTAATATTCTACTAAAAGTTCATATTATAACAATATAAATCAAAAAATATAAAGACTTAAACATTAAGAGATAGATCTTTTATAATATAATTTACTTCAATATTTATATCTAGCTTGACAAATAATATTTTACTTTTCCAAAAAGCTGTACAAAATATTAAATCATTTTTTTTAAATGATAATATTATAGCAAATCTGATAAGTAAGTTTTCATTTAGATACATAATAATATTGGATTGAGAGAGATTAAATTAATTAATGAATAAAGAAAGAGGAATTAGACTATAACTTCAATACTAATAAAAATTTCTAAGATCTGTATCAATATTTATGAATATTATCTTAAAAAGAAGTAATTAAATAATAAAAAATAATATAAATCAAGAAAATTATAAAGATATTGGTCATATTATTAGCAGATGCACTAGATCAAGAAAAAATGAAAATAGTCAGGATAATAATAATTACAATAATAATAATAACAATAGAAGAAATAATAATAATAATAAACAGAATGCTTACTTGAATATTGAAGAGCATTTAAATTTTTAAATGCATCTTTAAAAGATGAGAGTGCATTCATAACTAAAAAGCCTTCAATTGATAATAATTAGCTCAAGAAAATATTAATAGAAAATGAGAAAGAAAATCAATAAACTTAATAAATACCTATAGATGCTATGTATATGAATGGATTTATTAATAATCAACCTTGCAAGATAATAATTAATAGTGGTGCTGTGAGTAATATAGTTGTTCAACAATTTTTAAAGAAAATAGACTGGAAAATTCAAAAATCTAGTATAATAAATCTAATTGATATTAATAGTCAAAAAGAAAAAGTGCTTGGAGAAGTAATTGACTTACCAATTACTTTAAAAACTGAATCAATTAAGATCAAAGCATTAGTAATTGTAAATGATAATTATGATCTTATACTAGGAAATAATTGGGCTCATACTTATAAAGCAGTTATAAGCTGGACCAAAAACCTATTATAATTTGAAAATCAGAAGAAATAAATTGAAATATCTATTATATATTTAGAAAAGTACCATAAGACTGAAGAAGAAATAGAGCTTAAAGTCTTTGATAATAATGGCAAAGGAAAAATATCAGAATGTACTCATGAAACAGATGCTAACTTTGATCTAAGATATTCAGAATTAAAAGAACTTATTATTTCACCACAAGAAATTGTGATGATAGATTTATATATTATAATTGAAATACCAAAAGGAATATTTTGTCAACTTACTTCTAGATCTTCTTTAGCATGTAAAGGAATAGAAATAAAAGCTGGTATTATAGATATTGGATATACTGGAAATATTAAAGTATTAATTCATAATAATTCTAATCAATTATATATTATACAATCTAATAAGAAGATAATATAAGTAATATTCTTATCACTAGTAAAGATCTCAAAAATTCAACCAGTATTAACTTGTGAAGAACTTGAAAATTCAGAAAGAGATCAACAAGATTTTGATTTAACTGATAGATTTAAAGAAAAAAAATCTTTAATGGAAGAAGAAAGTAAAAATGAATATGAAGAAGATAATGGTATTGATCAATTACTTCTAAATATCCAAGAAAGTCTAGATGAATAAATAAAAATATTAGACTTACAAGTAAAAGAATATTATACTCAACTAGGCAAAGAAAAATTCTTTCACTCAATATTTGAAAAGTTAAAGAGAAATGAAGTTACTGGTTTAGACAAATATTTCTATGTCAACAATCACTTATCAACTGAATATCATAAATGTAATAAAGATGACTGATATTATAAATAGATAAAACTGATACCAGAACTGCTTTACCAAGTTAATAAAGAAGAAAACTCTAATGAGAATGATCTGATACCAGAATAAAAACAATAATTAGAAGAGTTACTAAATGAATATCAAGATCTTTTTGATGAAAAATCTGGGAAAACTACAATTATTTAATATGAAATTAACACAAAAACTAAAGAATCAATAGCTCTGAAGCCATACTATAGATACTCACCTATTAAAAAAGAATTCATAGAACAAGAAATTGAAAGAATACTTGAACAAAATATTATTTTACTATCAGACAGTCCATGATCTGTATCTGTAGTAATAGTCAAGAAAAAGAATAGCAAATATAGATTTTGTATAGATTATCACCAACTAAACAAAATTATAAAAAGAGATCAATTGTAACCTTCTTAGTTACGTGATGTAATATATCCAGATAATTCACAAAGAAGAATCAGATATAGTATTATATCAGAAAAATTCATACAGAAGATTCAAGATATAAGCGAAGATATTTGAAATAGAATTCACACAGAAAACTAAATCAAAAGCA